TACAATGATGGAGAACAAATTATTGCTCAGGTATAATATTTTAAAAATTAATTCAGCTTAGAATTATATTCTAGAAGGTTTTTATACGTTGTATATTTGATAAATTTTTCATCTGTATGTAGTGATGGATTAAATGCATTACTGCTAGCCAAATGACCTGTTAAAAATGATTTGCTTGATAGCCAGTAAGCTCTTTGAATATTTTTATTGATATAATTAACTGCTAATGACTATGTATTAAATCATCAGATGGCTTTCTGCATAATTTTATATCTGTGCATGATATTCATATCTGTATAAAGAGTAAGATATAATTGATAATAATTTTTTAAAATGTCATTTATAAGGGGAAAAACAGATGATGCATTCCATGAGATTAATGAGAACCCAGAAGGTACACTGGAAGATACTGTAAAGTTTTGCCTGATCAGTTCATGATAAAAACCTCTTGAGGCTGCTCTCTGATAAAATTCACAGAGAAGGGAACTTACTGTATCATAATTGCCCTCCAAGCACTAAATGTGGACCAACCTGTTATTATTTAACCCCTTGTCTAAGATCCTAGCTGTAACCTGTAGTATTACATACCTCAGGTAGAATAGTACTACCAAAAAGTAGGATTTATAATGACAGTTGAATTTCACAGGTAAAGCATATAGATCATAGCACTTTGCTAGTTATATTTTTGATACATTGAACAAATTTAGATTCCATCATTTTATATCATAACATCATATATTGTGCTCTTTATTTTAAATATTGTATCTTTTTTTTTGTAGGGGTTTTTTGTTTGTTTGTTTTTTGTTTTTTTGTTTTGTTTTGTTTTTGCTATAGGGCATGTGCACTCTCCAGAAAAACAGAGAGTGACAGAGAGATAGAAAGCAAGAAATCACCCTCCAGGGGAGATGGCCATGCCACAATCCCTTCTCCTCCATTGTCCTCTTGGAATCTTGGGCACGCACATGCACTCGGCGTTGAGTTTAAGCCACCTGGTCTGAGACTTGAACCATGACCAACTACATGGGAGTCCAGCAATATAGCCATTACTCTAACTGCTGGTTCCAATATTGTATCTTTATACCTGAAACAAGATCCAGGGACTGTGAGACTGAGGAAAAGATCATTGTATTAGAAGGCAAATAAACAAGCAAATTTCTCAGTCTGCCTCCCTCCCCATGAAATATATGTATGGATTGAAAAGTAGAGTGAATTTGAAGAATAGGCTAAGGTTCTACTCTTTTCGATTTTTTCTTTTTAAGAGAGATTTTTGCTATAAGGCATGTGCACTCACCACAGAGACAGAGAGAAATACAGAGACAGAAAGCGAGAAATCAGCCCCCAGGGGGGATGGCCACACTGCAGTCCCTTCTTCTCCATTCTCGTTTTGGGAGTTAGGGCGCACACACATGTACCCAGCGTGAGTTTTAAGCCTCTGAGTCTGGGACTCAAACCATGGTAGCTACGTGGGAGTCCAGTGATGTAACTATTACGCTATCTGCTGGTCCCCTACTCTATCAATTTTTAAATAACAAAATGTGGAACACTTTTTAAATGGTATTTTTAAGCCTCGTATTTTGAAATAATTATAAATTTCACAGGAAATTGCAAAAATAGTACTGAGAGATCCCCTGTAATATTCACCCAGTTTTTCCCAATGCTCCTTGCATCACTGTTATACAATATCCAAATGAGTAGGCTGACATTGGCACAGGCCACAGACCTTATTCAGATTTCGTCAGGCTTACATATACTTGAAGTATGTTTTAAAGATAAACAAGAAAACTTACACGGCAATGAATACACCTACCTATTATAATTTAAAACATTTGAAAATTTAACAGGAAACTTACGAAAATCTGGTATAAAACTAAGGAAAAGGAGAGATGCTATACTTAGGGTTTATTAAAGTTTAGGGTTTATTAAAGTTATGTTTGTACATCAATTGTCTTTTACCTTTATTAATGTCTGTACTATATCTTACACGTCTGTACTATATTATAGAAGACTAGATTCAATAGAATTCTTTGTGATATAATTTGATAATACTCTTTTTGAATTGTACTAAAGAGTTTTAAAGGACCAAAGTTTCTCCAGATCACTTTGAGAGGCTCAAAAAAACCCAGTATCTGTGTTATTATCTTCCATGTTGCACCACTTTATTCAGAAGGCATTCTTGGACATCACGACGGAGTTCACTCAAAAGCAAAAACGAGAAAAAATGGGTCTGAAGTTAGAAATGGCAGGCCATTTTTTTAGAAGTCTCTTTAAGGCCTCGAGGCTGATTGTCAATAGTTCAGCATTTCGAAGTGTGGTCCTTCGTTCACCGGAGTGAAAATGTCAAGGTCAACATATGTTGCTCCCCATACATCTGGGTGCTTTCTGCCCTTTGCTGGTTGATGGGTTACCTTGGATCACCAGGCCAGTGCCTCTGTTAGGGGGACAAAGGGCACACATTTTAGCACTTCCAAGGAGCACAGGGTCAGCTGACGTGTTCCTGGTGACTGAGAAGATGCAGCTTGGATACACAGCCGTGTCATCATTTCTAGTCAGGCATGTGTTACTCAAGCTGAGATTGGGGCAAAATTCTTACCCCAGTGACTTTTGCCATATTTTCTTGGCTTGTGGTAAAAATGCTTTGGTAAAGAGTATATCATTTCAGATCATTTCACAGATGAAACCATCACTATATAATTGTCAATCATAACCTTTCTGTTTAGATATTGAAATAGCCTGTTCCTGGGAACCAGCAGTTAGCGTAATGGCTATGTCGCTGGACTCCCACGTAGTCAACCGCAGTTCGCATCCCGGACCCGGTGGCTTAAAACTCAGGCCAGGCGCGTGTGCATGCGTGCCCAAGATCCCAAGAGGAGAATGGAGGAGAAGGGATTGCGGCGTGACCATCCCCCCAGGGGGGTGATTTCTCGCTTTCTGTCTCTCTGTCTCTCTCTGTCTGTCTGGCGAGCGCACGCACCCTATAGCAAAAACCTCTCAAAAAAAAAAAAAAAGAAAGAAAGAAAGAAAGAATAGCCTGTTCCATGGAGTTTCTGTTTTCAGGCAAATACCTGTACATTAGGATTGGACTGATTCCAGGAATATGATCATAAATATGATTGCTGTTATATAAATTTGCATTTTCAGTGTCTGTTTTTGTTGTTTTATTCTAATAGGGAGATTCAGCAGATTCTTTCTTTATTGTTGAATCTGGAGAAGTGAAAATTACAATGAAAAGAAAGGTAAGTATTCCTAAGATCTAAAAATTTGTATAATATTAACAAGGAACATCATAATTTTCTTTTTGATGTTTAGATGTGGTTAACTTTTATTTTTTATAAAAGGCATAAAAGTTGTTATTTTTAATTACTTTGTCAGGGTAAATCAGAAGTAGAAGAGAATGATGCAGTAGAAATCGCTCGATGTTCTCGGGGACAGTACTTTGGAGAGCTTGCCCTGGTCACTAACAAACCTCGAGCTGCTTCTGCACACGCCATTGGGACTGTCAAATGTTTAGGTAGGAATTACAACAGTGAGCCCACTTCTCCTGGTTGAAACTGTTTCATGCATGTTATGCGACAGTGTCGTAGAGATCATTTTACTGGGTTCACAAGTTGCATGGTCTCCACAAAAGGCAACAAGTCTGGAATTCATTGCATTATTAAATCAATTAGGGAAGCCATTCTTTTCTTTGAGAATTTGTACATACATATATGTTTTGCCCTTTCATATATGTATGAAACGACATCTTTACTAATTAAAATAAGAATTTCAAGTACCAAGTTTTGTATCTAATCTGTAAAATAAACAACATGTGCTGTGTGTCCTCAAAAGAGAAGGCGAGGCCCAGCTGTGGTGGCACAGTGGTAGCACAATACCCTGCAATGCCAGAAGCTATAAGAAGATGAGTGTTCAGGTCCTGGGTCAACCTGACCTGTACAAGCTGGGCATGTGTGGCCCGTGATCCTAAAGGTTGGGAGAGTCTGGGGAGGATCACAGTGTGAGGTCCTATTGAGAGAGTTTCTCTTTCTCTCAATACATTTACTTTTTAATTTTTTTTATTAAAAAAAAAAAAGCTAAAATACTATTTTTATACAAGTCCATTGTCAAGTTCTCTGGGGAAGTTGACATGTCTGTGAAAATATTTACTCATCTAAGCAATGAGATACTGAGTCAGGTTAGTCAAAGCATAATCAAATGTTCTTTGTTGTGCAAGTATGTATTACTTTCTTCCCCCTAAGTAGCTTGGCAGATGGGAGATTTTATATTTGAGACCTCACTTGATTTTCCTTTTTAAGTTTTTTTTTTTCTTTTTTCTTTTTTCTTTTTTTTTTTTCCCCCATAGTGCCCATGCACTTGTCAGAGAAAGACAGAAAGACAATGAAAGGAAAAGTGAGAAATCACCCCCTAAGGAGGATGGCCATGCTGCTATCCCTTCTCCATTCTCCTCTTGGGACTTTGGGCACACATGCACATGATCCTGGCTTGAGTCTCAAGCCACCAGATCTGGACCTTGAACCACCGTCAGCCATGTTGGAGTCCAGTGCTTTACCCACAGCACCACCTGCTGGCCCTGAAATCACTTGTTTTAATGAAAAATATGGGCCAGCCAATGGTGGTGGTTAAGGCATTTGGATCCCACATGGCCTACCATTTGACTCAAGTCCTGGACCCAGTGGCTTGAAAAAACATGCTGGGCTCATGTGCACTGGTACTCAAAGTCCCTAAAGGATAAATGGAGAAGGGATTGCAGCATGACCATCCACCGGGGGTGGGAGGGGTGATTTCTCATTTTCCCTCTCTCTGAATCCCTTTGTCGAGTGTCCTCTAGCATTTTTTAAAAAAGAAAAATGTGGGACCAGCAGATAGTGTAATAGCTATGTTGCTGGACTCCCATGTAGTACACGGCAGTTCAAGTCTCGGACCTGGTGGCTTAAACTCATGCCGGGTACATGTGCGTGTGTGTGCGCACCCAAGATCCCAAGAGGAGAATGGAGGAGAAGGGATTGCAGGGTGGCCGGGGGGGGTTCTCACTTTCTGTCTCTCTCTGTCTTTCTGGCGACCACACGTACCCTATAGAAAAAAAAAACCTCTCCCCCCCCAAAAAAAATGTAATTCAGAAGATGGCAATGTACATGAATTTTTCTTTAAGAAAATTGATTTCACAGTGATTAGCTTCTTTATGCTCTTCATCTACAATACAACATACTTAGGTTCAATGATTCTTAGAATTAACTTCTTAGAGAAGCCACTTTCTACAGTGTTTTGAATAAGTGTATTGATCAGGTGTTCTAGTATTGGACCACTGGAAAAATCATGACATTATTTTTCTATACAAAAATGTATCATGACTTTCCCAATGACCTCATATCAATAGAATGAAAAAGAAGACAATTAGAAACTGATAGGTAATTTCCCTGGCTAGAGCTATCATACAGTAAGAATACAGATGACCTGAGTGAAATTCCATTGATTTTTTTCTGTAATAAGTTATTATATTCACATTAAGGAAAATCTGGAAAACAGAAAATGTGAGAAAAACTGAAAAACTAAGAATCACTAATACCACCACCACTACTCAATGCATTTCCATGATTATAATTTCTGTTGTTAAGACAGTTCTTTTTTTTTTTTACCTTTATTTATTTACTTTTTTTTTTTTTAATTTGACCAGAGACGGATAGAGAGAGAGAGAGACAGAGAGAGAAGGAATGAGAAAGCAAGCTGCTAGTTCCAGGACTCAGACTGCGGTCAGCCATGTGGGAGTCCAGCACACTTATCCACCATGCCACCTGCAGGCCCCAATTTAGACAGTTCTTTAAACTGAGTTTTTCATTTATTATAGCTTATTTATTTATTTATTTATTTATTTATTGGAGAGGTTTTCGCTATAGGGCGCGTGTACTCGCCAGACAGCGAGAGAGACATAGAGACAGAAAGCGAGAAATCACCCCCCAGAGGGGATGGCCACATCGCAATCACTTCTCCTCCATTCTCCTCTTGGGATCTTGGGCACGCACACACATGCGCCCGGCGTGAATTGTAAGCCACCGGGTCCGGGATGCGAACCGCGGTCAACTATGTGGGAGTCCAGTGACATAGCCATTACGCTAACTGCTGGTTCCCCAACTTATGGTTTTTTAATTACATAAATTTTTAACATTCTATTAGGTAAATATAAATATGTTAAATTATTTAATCATTTCTCATTGGTAAATATTTAGAGGGGTTTTGTTCCTTTTTTTAAAAAATGTGCATACATAAAAAGCTTTTTCATGTGTAGAATTTTCCCTTAGAAGTGGTTTGCAAGAAGAGTTTAAAAAATGTCTTTTGATATTTCCAGATCACTCATTTATACCAATTTATGTGTTACTATCAGTGTAGACTGCCCATTCACCCTGTTCTAAACTTTGCCCTTTTTTTCTTTATGAATTTGAAGGGCAAAAAGAATGCATTTTGTCTGTGGTAGAGTATGATTGTATTTTCCATGTGTTTATTATGAATTTAGTTTCTGTTTTTTGGGGGGAGAGGTTTTAACTATAGGGCACGTGCGCTTTCCAGAAAGACAGAGACAGAGACAGAAAGCGAGAAATCACCCACCAGGGTAGATGGCCACACTACAGTCCCTTCTCCTCTATTCTCCTCTCAAGGTCTTGGGCACGCACACAAGTGTGCCCGGCATGAGTTTAAGCCACTGGGTCCGGGACTCAAACTGCGGTCAACTACATGGGAGTCCAGTGACATAGTCATTACGCCAACTGCTGGTCCTGTAAATTCAGTTTCAAAATACATGATACTGACAAACAAAACGATACATAGTGTGTACTTATAGAAGTGAACAAAAGCATTATGTTGGCTGTCATTCTGAATTACATGGACAATAGTCTAACAGAGTATAAAAATTACAAAAGGTAACATTTGTTCTTTACAATGGGGCATTATAAACCCTGAGAACACAGAAGCAGAATAAAAAACACTCTCTTGCTGCCTTTGAGGAGTTCATATTACTAAGATGGAGACACAAAATATATTAAAAATATTCCGAGGTCTCACCATGTTAGTCTCCATTCTTTTCTCAGCTTAGATCAGGACCCAGTGTTGGCAACCTAGCATTGTATTATTAATATATCAGATTGCCAAGGGACCTCAGAGTGTGGCCTGAGAAGGGCCTGACTGTTCCCTTTTTGACGTGGAACATTGTTACATGTATGCTTTTTTAATGTATTTTACAATATTTACCTTAAAATGTCATTGTACTGTTCATATGTAGAGTGGATGTTATAAATGACTTAGAAATTCTGCAGGTTTGCAAAGAATTATTTTTCTTTTATTCTTCACTTTTCTTAGCCATGGATGTGCAAGCATTTGAAAGGCTTTTGGGACCTTGCATGGAAATCATGAAAAGGAACATCGCTACCTACGAAGAACAATTAGTTGCCCTGTTTGGAACAAACATGGATATTGTTGAACCCACTGCATGAAGCAAAAGTATGGAGCAAGAAGACCTATAGTGACAAAATTACACAGTAGTGGTTAGTCCACTGAGAATGTGTTTGTGTAGATGCCAAGCATTTTCTGTGATTTCGGGTTTTTTCCTTTTTTTACATTTACAACGTATCAGTAAATGGTAGAGATTTAATAGTCAATAGGCTTTAACATCACTTTCTAAAGAGTAGTTCATAAAAGAAGCAACATACTGATAAAATGACTTTCTACTCCACAAAATTATTTGACTGAAAAGTTTATTTAAATGATTGTAATATACTGAAAGTATTCATGTTTAAGAAGATAACTAGGGGATGTTATCATAGGCTATATGTGTTTGACTTACTCAGATCGATAATATATTAGTGACTATGCCCATACAAGAAGAAACTTGGCAGTGAATCATGCTCCATGGCATGGCATCATATTCTTTTTATAACTCATTATACTTAGTGGAATTTTAATCATTTTCATTTTAAAGTTTTTCTGGCTTGATAAGTTTTGTGCTGGCCTTGGCCTATTGGTGAAATGATTTAAAACATCATATGCAATTTCAAAACTTTTTATATTTTTGCAATAAAGTACATTTTGACTTTTTTGGCATAATGTCAGTAACCTATGTATTCTAGTGGTTTTAAGGACAGGCAATTTAGTCAGTATAAAGGAAGGGAAAAGAGTCTTTTTTAGATGAGAGATCATTAATGCATTTTTTTTTCTTTTCCTCATAAGCATATACCTTCACTTCCTTTCTTCACATTGCAGTTCTATATTCTTTAAAAATTTGATCTTGACATTTAATGTCATAAAATTTTTAGAAAAAGCTATTTAAACTGTTAAATCAGACTTATTTTCTAAAAGTCTAAAATCTTATACTTAGAAAAAGACCTTCCCATACCAAAAATATTTTGGTATCTTTGTTAACCTGCCCACTGGATATTTCTTATAATAAGATCCTTTGCAGACTTCTGCTCCCATGGGCTTCTGTTCTTGTAGTGGACCAATTCCCAGTCTTATTGATCAGCAACCAGTGAGGTGTGGTGTTTGTTTTTGTCTTTTTTCATTAAAGGCATCCTCTAAGGTTGTAGAAATAAAAGTTTTATAAGCAAAAACATGTATAAAAATAAATGGAATTTCTTTCCAGACCACTACTCATTAGGCCTTGTCATATACTTTAATGAAGATCTATAGTTAAGTGTACAGAATGAACTTAACCATCCCAGATTTTCACTGATTTTGGATACACTTAGTATTCTATCACATGCGATGAATTATGTTCAACTAAAGCAATATACATAAAAGATCTCTAGGCCCCCTGACTCAATGTCCAACCAGTTGTTCGCTTTTAAGTGAGCAGTTTCATTCTGGGAAGCATGATTTAAAAGAATATATATAGAGACATGGGTAAAATTATTCTCTAGCTAGTGTGGTCTTACTGGAGAATATTTATGGCCCCACTTTTGTATATGAAAATGTGGTTAGAATGTTAATTGGATAATGTATATATAAGAAGTTAAATGAAGTATGTGTCATTTCAGCCACATTTTAGAACAGTTTTAACATTTTTGCAAAATGTTCTTAAGGAAAAGAACTCTCTAGGTGAAGATGACTTGTTCTTACTTCAGATTTTATTTTAAAAGCCATTTCTGTTTAACAAGAAAAAACACAAAAGAACCCCAAATTCCTGGTTCATCATTCTGTATTCTTTATTCACTTTTTCAAGTTACCTATTTTGTTGTCTAAGCCGATTGTTACCTATTCATGGAACAGCAAACAAATGCCTGTTGAATAAAGAACTCTGACCAAGGCTATAAATGCCAGTTACATTATTTTCAGTATTGTTGATTATATTTAAATTTTCCTTATAATAAAGCACACTTTTATAATAAAATATACGATGATTGTTTTTAATACTTTTTGCTTGTTTCTTTAACATGACTTGTCTAGCGCAGTGAAAAGCATGGTAGAGCGTGGCATGTGGAAGTTAACCAAGGGCATAGCACAGCAAGGAAGCATAGTTCTGAACTTAAATTTTAACTATTGGTCATATGTGAAAGAAATAATTGTGGTATGTTGCAGATTAATTTGGCCATTTAGAATAACCAAATAAATAAACCTGGCTAACTAGGGGAATTTATGTGTACAACTATCTAATTAAAACAAATCAAGTTTGACTTGTGGAATAAATTATTTAATCACTAACCAAGAGTCTTACTCTTTGGGAATTCTCTGATGATATTTCAAGGACGGTGCCTCATACACACCGCATGAGACACAGGTTGGTGAGTATATTTGGGTTACTATTATGATCTCTGGCTGGCAGATCATTTAAATACTTTAAAATGCTGCAAGTGAAACAGGACATAAGGCAAGGAACTTTGGATTTTATTAAAAAGTGTAAGGTTAAGAAAAGTGCTGAGTTATTTTCCTTCTTAGAGCATCTTGAAAAATACTGGTAAAGGGGCTGGACAAATGGTGGTGCAGTAGTAAAACGTGATGCTCTGTGAGGCTGAGCATGTGGGAGGATTCTGGGTTCGTATCCAGAGACCTTCCTGAGTAGACCTCAGGCCTGTGTGGGCTTCCACTGGCTGAGACTGGGGAAGATCATGGCATGGGGCCCTGTTGGGGATGCTCTGTCTCTCTCTTATCTCTCGCTTATGGAAGAAATAAACTTATAAAAGTTCCAATTTAATTTTTCCTAACTTTCTTAAATGTTATAACAAGGATTAGATGGCCTTTGGTATTCTTTTTTCTCTTTCTTTCTTTTTTTTTTTTTTGAGAGTTTTTTTGCTTTGGGGCACATGCACCTGCCAGAAAGACAGAGACAGAAAGCGAGAAATCACCCCCCAGGGGGGATGGCCACACCCGCAATCCCTTCCTCTCCATCCTCCTCTCTGGATCTTGGGCACTCATGCACACACGCCCTGTGTGAGTTTAAGCCACAGGGTCCGGGACTTGAACTGCAGTCAACTACATGGGAGTCCAATGACATAGCCATTATGCCAACCTTTGGTATTCTTAAGGAAGATTAATAATATATAAGCCTAAAGGATTAAACCAAGGCTTTGTTAAATAGCTGAATAAGAGATTCTATTATCTAAATAAAATGTTAATACTTAAGGGAAAAATAGAGTTATAAGGAATACTGGCTTCAAGGATGAAAGATAGCTTGAGGTTCAGCCTGATGTTGAATATACAAAAGAATTTTGACCCAAAGGAAGTAACTGGAATAAGAAGACAACTTTACCTGCTCCAGAATACTTTTAAAGACAACTAAGCTGTTTGAGCAACTGAAACTACATAGTTGTTCACAGGTATTTAAAAAATGTAAGTCTAATGAATTATGGGAATATAACCAGTAATGTACACCTATTATTGTTGAGGACTATGTGCCCCCACCATAATTTTGAAGGTTTAAATCAGTTTAATTTGTATACCCAAGTATTGGTGACTTCACCGAAATCATTTACTTTGTGAGTTGATGGCCTAACTCACAAAATTGAGATCTCCTGGTTCCTTGTCTAATTCCTGACCTTTGTATATTTTTCCAAATAATGTGAATGGACCTAGTATATAGAGAAATTGGTATGAAGTTTCTGATGCAGAGAGTTAAGACTATTTTGAAAGAAAAAATTTTATTTGACCAATAGATCCGAGTCCTTACTGTTTATAACTCACCTGGAAAATCCCGAAGAAGCATATATGATTTCTAAATGTGAAGATGTGACTGGGTATGATATGAAATTGTCTAGAATATTAACCAAAATGCCACCCATCAAATGGTGATTTTCTCAGAATTTTGATTGAACCATAGCCTCAATTCTGCCATTGCTCTAAATATTAAAAGTTATTGCAAAATGTATATATGTGAAATGTTTCATTCGCACCAATTATAACTGATTAATTATAGTATGTAAATGCATTTTTTACTCTCAGGTAGAAAAAAAAAAGAAAATTACTTATTCCAGGCACGAGGGCAAGTATTAAGAGTGAATTGGAAATGAACCCTGAAAGGGCAAGAGCAGTATTAAGTGTGAATTGGAAATGAACCCTGAAAGGGTAAAAGCAGTATTGGCTTTTGACCCCAACAATCCAGATGTGAATCCCTAAGTATATTTTATTTATCGGAAAAAAACAAAAAAAAACTTAGAAAATAGAACCCCTGAATGAGCGTATGAGCAGGAACTATGACCAGTCAAGGGCCAGCCAGAGGCATAGTGACTCAGATGGTTGGATCCCACATCACTATGTGGTTTGAGCCCCAGACCTAGGGGCGTGAAAAACATGCCGGGCACATGTGAATGCATGCCCAAAGTCCCGAAAAGAGGGGGAGATGGAGAAGAGATTTCTGCATGACCACGCCCCACTGAGAGGTGGTGTTTCTCATTTTCCTTCTCTTCCTCCCTATGCGAGAGTGTGCATCTTCTAGCAAATTAAAAAAAAAAAAAAAAAGATTAATGATGTGCATTTCCTCATAACTTTTTCTTTTAAATAATCTTTTTCTGATTTCTTCTTATTTTTTAATTCGCTATGGGGCATGTGTGCTCACCAGAGAGAGAGACAGAGGGAAAGGGAAAAAGCAAGCTGCCAGGTCTGGGCCCCGAACTGTGGTCAGCCACGTAGGAGTCCAGGACCTTAACTATTATGCTACCTGTACCTCTCAGTAACTTGTCATTAGTTTTTCATCAGGCATCTATTTATTGATTATGAACCAGATATAATCTGGTTCTAATCAGACATAATCTGGTTCCTTGTCTAATTCTTGACCTTTGTATATTTTTGATGGTGACTGATAGGGAAGGAGGAGATCATATAAATATGGGAGGAGGCAAATATAGGCAAAAACGACTAAATTCAGCAGTGCGATAAAGCTATGTAATACACTATTTCTGTGATATTCATTATCAAGCTTAATTGTCCCTAAAATGAGATACTTCAAGCTAGTAACTAAAAATGTGCAGGGCCTAGGATACCAGATGTATTACTTGGGAGTCTGGGTTAAATAGGTATCAGGAATGATCTATTCTAGAAAACTTGGAATGACAGACATGAGAGCAGACACTCGAGCTTAATTTTATATTGGAAGTAAGATGAAGTAGAATTATTTCTCTTCTCTAAATACATTTCCATTTATGCCAAATAGAACAACACAAATTTGCTGAGGGCAATAGGGAGCAAATTCCCCACTATGTTCTTAGTATACCCAAATTTATCTCCTAGACTTGGATCTCCTAAACTCCAGATCAATGCATTCAGCCACCTACAGGACCCTGTATTGGAATTTCCTGCCCACACAGCATGCTTATCAATTGTTTTAAAGTTGAACCATTTCTTCTCCCATTTCTGTCTAGTTCTCAAATCTGTTCTCTCTCCAACCCTCCCAGTCTGCATCGATAGCATCAATATACCTAGCACATGGTGATTACCCAAGCCAGGGATCCAACGCTCATTCTTTTTTTAAAAACTGCTTTATTCATTATAGAGTATGTACCCGTGCATGAGAGTGTAAGTCATGCTGTAATCCTTTCTTCTAGTCTTCCACCGTGTTGGAGCTTAGGCACTAGTGTAATTGCCCTGGCTGGCTGGACTGGGAATTGAAACCCTGTTCATGTGGGATCAAGCCTCTCTGGAGCAGTGCA